ATTATAGAGTTAAGCATACTATTAAAGCAAGGGTGTCAAATGTGATCTGGATGTCCTGCCATTCAGTCCCAGGTGCTGCTCTTGGGCCTTAGTGGACCCACACAGGGCATGGTGTGTGCTGGACCAGCCCTGCAGGCAGGGCTCAGGATGCTGGCTTCGCACTGTGCCTGCCCCAACTGTAGTACCTGCAAGTGCCACATGTAGTATGGGTCCTGGACTGGCTGGAGTAGGCACCACGTGCGGCGCAGTTCCACTGTGGGTGCCACATGTGGTCCAGTTTGGCCAGGGCAGGCACTGCATGCAGCATGATGCCTACTCTGTTCTGAGATCTGCACTGCACTCTTGGCTGGACTATACTGCATGTGGCACTTGTTCTGGTTGCTCTGGAGTCTTCACCGCATGTAGCACAGGTCCCAGGCCAGATTAGATTATGCTGGGGGAGGCGGACAGGGTCCTTGGGCCTTGAAGCAGCCTGTGGACCAGCCCTGCATCACTCATCTAGCCTGCAGGACTAGATGGGATTGATGCCCGTGTATTAAAGTACTCAGTGGGTCTGGAGAGCTCCTCTGTGAATAATGCATTTGTTATACAGTATTCCAGCAGTTCCAAATTCATCCAGCCCCCGCTTGGCTGGATCCAGACTGCAGGGCTCCTAGCAGGTCAGATCCTTATCTGAACCCAGTGGCAGAGCTAGTGGTATCAGGGAGCCACAGGGTTTAATGCTTGTTGTTCACCCCTTGACACCAACATGCATGCCCAGCATGGCTCCATTATACCCCAGGTTTCAGTGGCTGCACCCCCAGGTGCCCCCACTCCCTCCAAGTTCACAGCCCCTCTTGGAGCCCTGCAGGCCAGATGGTGTGGATCTGAAGATGGCCCGTGTTGTTTGTATTAGGCAAAAAACTGACAAGAATCATGCTATGCAAATTTTGCATTCCTCCAGAATGCAGATAAATGGAGTTCAGTGGGATTGTATTATCTTATGTAAATGAAAGTCCTTTCATGTTAGTACATTTAGTATGTGGAGATCTTTTCTGACTGCAAAGTACATCATTATAAAATGTATTTTATTGTGGTTTAACTTCTGTGATAATAGAGCCAGTTCAGTGCTTCTGTCTTTTTACTTTTTTTAATATTTACATGTATGGACAACTTTCAATATTAATTATTCTTTTGTGCTTCCCTATACCCTCTGTTTGATCTGTTGAATCTTTTATGGACTGATATGGCAGATTTTAAGTACATAAATAATTCAGTTGAACTATTTACTCATTCACATTTTTCAGGGCCAGAACTTAAGTAGAATGTCCAGTTAGACTAGTTCAGCGCACAAATGCAGGATTCTCTAAAACATAAGACTTAATTTTAATTTTTGTAATAAATTAAATACTTTGCATTAAGTCACTATAAAAATGTTGTCGATGTGATATCCTGTAGCAAAACATCTCAGTTGAAATGATCAATAAAGTTTGGGTGGATGTTTTCAGAGGAAGCAGGAAGTGATTATTCAAATTTTAGATCCAAGGTATCTATGAAACATCTATGAGGTCTATTTTACAAAATAACCATATGCTTCACTTAACTAATGAAGCACTTTTAGAAGCTGCTAGAAGATAAGTAATAAATGCAGCTGAAGTCACCAATCAAAGCATCAAATCAGAAACAGAAGAGGGATATGCTACCAGCATGAACTGTAAACAGGACAACAGGTGATCTTACATTTACACTGAAGATAAAAAATGAAATCAGTGACCTTCCAATAAAACAAGTTTAAGACCACAATAGTTCTTATAAAAACTGTGTCCAAATATCTGTTATCAGACTTGATCTCCCTCCCCTCTCCTTTCTCTCCCCAAAAAAGTTTTACTAGGGGGGAAAATAAAATATAACTAGGGCTATAGCAAGAATTCTTCTTGCTCCTGAAAGAAGTAGTCCAAGAATTGAAATGCAAGAAGCAAGACAACCTGATAAGTGTGGCAATGGATTTATGTGGCTTATTGATAGAAATGCCATCTGTTTGAGATGATCAAGAATCTGTTTGATTCCTTTCCACCTTAGAACTCCTAATTAGGTGTGAAAGGAATATCAGCACAGTTGAATGCTGTCTGAGGCACCTTGGTAATACAGTTATTGGAACTGTTTTGATCTTCTTAATACTATATTTGCACCAATATGATACTGTTCATTTCAGTAGATTTAGTTCTGATTTTACATGGATATGGGCTAGATCAGTTCAAGACTGGTATTTGAAATCTGTGCTTCAGAATGGCTAGGGTTTTTTGTAGCATGACCCTTGTTTAAGTTTTGGAGAAAATCATGATGGACACTGAAAAACTACCTCTGTGTTAGAAATAATTGTTAAGTACTGTTCTGTTTCTAGTGTAAAAGTGGAGAATGTGAGGAACAGTAAGGTTATAGGTAACCTATTCTGGTTATAAATTCATAATTGTGAATTCTTACTTGCAGTGTCTGAACACTTTTTTTCCTGATGACTAAATAGTGCTATAGAGTGTACTTGCATGTCTCTCAGGGATTCTGTAGCTCAGGGGTTGTCTAGCTCAAGGGGGTACTTGAGAAACCCCTAGGGGGTACATGCGGGCAGGTAGGGATGGAGCGTTGCCATGCAGAAGGCTGTGTTCCCAAGCAGGTGTCACCCGCCCGGCTGGATGTGGGAGGTGTGGGAAGCTCACATGCGGCGGCTGCTATCACTGCATCTGGCTGCGCACCTTCCCCCCCTGCTGTGCATCCAGCTGCCAGGGTACACTGACCCAAAGAGGGTGAAAACCCCTGCTCTAGCTCAGTGGTTCTCAGCATTTTTTGTACCAGGACCCATTTGTAAACTTTGATGGCCAGTCCCAACCCGCTGCCCCCAGCCCCGAAGTGTGTGGGGCAGGGTGTGAGTATATGGGGGGGAGAGGGGGACCCAAGTAGCCCCTTGTAGGCTGGAACTTTTAAAACCAGTCAGACAACCACTGTATTTTGTGACAGTCAGGTATTGTCTTTACTGCTCTTTCAGGTGTAACATGTAATTTGTGATGGAAATTGCTACCTTTTGTAAGGGCTTTATCTTGAGTTAATTTTTACTTTTATTTTCAATATGGAGTATTCTAAATGTAGTAAAAATCTGCTTTGCTAATATTAAATTAAGTTTTTTAAAAGGTGTTAGGAAATGTCTCATGGTCACAGGCAGCAGAAGGGGGGCTAACAGGGCTCAGCCCCCCCTCCCCCCCCCCCCCCCCCAAACACTGACCCTGATCCACCCCTGTCTCCCTGAAATACAGTAGCACACTCCTGGCTGTTGTATGGCCCTCCCATGACCCCATGGATTTAGGGGAACAGGCTCAGCTCGCAGGTAAGTTTCTTTCGATCTTTCTTTATCACTGCCTGGACTTTGGGGGGGAGGCAGATTGAGACCCCCACAGTGCAGGAGAGAGTGGGGTAGGGGCAGGGCAAATCATTCACCCTTGCCCTAAGTTTCTTTCGATCTTTCTTTATCACTGCCTGGACTTTGGGGGGGAGGCAGATTGAGACCCCCACAGTGCAGGAGAGAGTGGGGTAGGGGCAGGGCAAATCATTCACCCTTGCCCTGCTTCCTCCTGCACTATGGGGATTGTCCCACAATCTGGCCTGACCAGGGCCCCATTCACAGTGAATGGGGCCCCGGCTGGGCCAGGTCGTGGGACAGTCGGAGCCCAGCAGCTCCCTCAGAGACATGGAGCCGGGGGGAGCGGGGCATGTGCTCCCCTGAACTTTGCATGAGGCAAGGGCAGGCCACAGCTGCTAGCTGGGCTCTGTTTGCTCCCTGCCACTGTTTTGCTGCTGTCACTGCTTTCAAAACAGCAGTGGGAGTGAGATATAGAGGCAGGAAACAGAGGCTGAACCCAGCTGTGTCCACCCTTGCCCTGTGCAAAGATCGGGGGGGTGAGGGAGGGCATGGGCCCCACCACCCTGGCTCCCCAGCACTGCACCAGGTTTGGACGAGTTGCCAGGCTCTGATTGTCCCATGACGTGGTCCAGCTGGGTTGTGGCTCCCTACGGAACTTCCCCCAGTTCCCCCGTGCTGTGTCTCTGGAGGAGCCGCTGGTCTGTGCTGGGCTCTTCCCGGGGACAACTTGGGGTAGGCGTGGGGATGCTGGCGGTGGCCTGGCAGTGCAGCCAAGGCTGGCTCCGCTCTGGCCTCTGGCTACGCATCTCCCCAGACAGTGTGGGTCTGGGGTCGGTGCAGGACTAGGAGGTGGCGGCTCACGAGGCTCTCCAGCTCCAGGGAACAGGTGAGGGGAAGGGTGCTTGCATGGGCGCAGCAGGCCTGGCCCCAATCCTGGCTCTGCTCCGCTCCCTCCCGATTCCTGCCCAGTCCCAGCCCCACTTTCCCTGGGAGGGGTACATGCGCTCAGGCCCTGCCAAACTTTTTTTCTCCGTCCGCCTATGGTCATGGTGAATTTTATCTGTCCTCAAAATTCATCAAATTTTTAAATCTTATTGAATTACTGACAAAATATAAACAGGCAGATCATCAAGAAAAGAGGTTAAAGGATAAAAGGAAAGAAAAGTGTTATTAGGGTCTGCATTTATGTTTCTGGAAGACAAGGTTGTGTGACGAGTCCAAAGAAAATATTTGTTCTGGTTCAGACAGCGTCCAAAGTCATAGAATTAAGATAAATTACTTTATTAACTGTACCACATTGCTTTTGCTGCTGCCTGTAAATGGGACCCATGCTACGTCAAACAACCTCCCAACAGTTAGGCATGTCATGGGAAATTATTTCACATGGGCATCCTAATCCAAGGAGTACAACTTTGTTGATGGCAAAAGGGCATCCCATTTACGGAAGAAAGCAAGAAGCAAGTCAGATTGAAGCATGAGAAGCAAATGTTTTCACAGTGATCCCTAGTGACATTTAACATGAAGTAAAATAGACATTTTCTCAGGGCTGTGTTTTGTTTTTGTTTTGGGGGTGGTTTTCAGCATCTTTCTTTTCTCTTTTTTTTTTTTCCCACAGTGGATGGAACTGAGGTTTAACACTCTGGCAAAATGCCCGCACTGCAAAAAAATGTAAGTTGCCTAAAAATGCTAAGATTGTTGAGAGGTTCTTTGGAAACCAATTTAAAACTGCTAAACATATATCAGATGTTATTGGTTAAGAACAATCTGTTTACAGATATTTTTCTCTATGGATCTGAGAATACACAGGCATAGATCTGGGAACTGTCCTCCTAATTCTTGAAAAGTCAGTAGCTCTAATATATAGGTTTGATTTGTAAATGGTTTGATTGTCAGTGTCAGGGTAGGAAATATTCTGCTAATAGCAGGAATAAATGGATTACTAAAACTAGCAGCAATGCAGATTCTTTTTAATAAGATGTCCTTAGAATGTTATCATTTCAATTAATCAGGATGTCATATTTAAATATGTAGCTTGCCTTCACTTTGGGACAGTGCACGCAAGAAATAAAAGCTGTCCTCTATTTATTAATTTGTAATGCATTTTAAGCTTCCTGTCCCCAAAAAAACTAATTCATGTTTAGTATCTTCTTTGCTCACTGTAAGCAAATAACTGGAGACTAAATTCCAACCTCCTGGTAAGGAGTGGGAGACTGTGCCAAGAAGGAGAGTGAAAGTAATAAAACATATATTATTAACAACAACAACAACAAATAGAAAGCAAGCTTAAATTTTGCAATTGTTAAATGGGGATAGTAATATTTTGAAACATTTGAAGTTACAATGTATGCTCCCAACAGTGCCTAGAATGTGTACAAAACAAGATGATCACAAGTAAAGGGCATAAAACAGATGAAACCATGTTGCTTTGGAAACTTGATTCCTATCTTATGTGGAGGTTCCTCTCTTCCCTTGATTTGTTTTATGCTGGTCCTGATTATGGGAACAACATGTTTTCACTGAAAGGGAAGAACCACTGACCCAGTGTGTATCATATAAAAACTTAGAAAGGACAGAGTCAGATAGATAAGTATCTACGTGAGTGGTCTGGTTTTCAAAAGTGGTTTTACTTTGCTCCTATCACTGAAGTTATTGAGGAAGAACTGCCAGTTTGGGAGGATGCTTTTGGAAATCTTGGGTCAGGGGAGCATGATGAAAAAAATGAATGATTGTGCGTGGGTTAGCAAACGTTACTCGGTTTAGGCCAAATAATTGTAGAGCCTGTATCAGTTCCTGTAATCAAGAAACAAAATCCTATCTGTGTGTTAGCAGTAAGTACATCCAGCATTTCTCTTCAGGTCTAAGTATTAATGTTAATCACATTTTGCTTTAAAATATAGCACCCCGTATTCCACGGTAGATCTCCAAGACCTCCCTTTTTCCTGAAATTGTCTTTAAAACACAGGATATCTAAATATTTATTTTAAACGGGCACATTTTTTTTGTTCAAGTTAACAAAACAGGGCAGGGGAAAGA